GTGATTTGCTGATCGATCCAATTATCCCAAGAGGTACCGAACGCCTTTTCATGGAACGTGAGGGCTCTCGGTCTATAGTAAGTAGAAGTTCATGTGCGATCGCCGCATGCCCTAACTCCCTCACTGTTGTTTTGGCAATTTTTAATTGATCCTTGATAAGGTCATGTTGCAGAAGTTCGCGGCAAGTGTCTAGCGAGTTTACCTGCTGACAGGCGTCTAGTGCATTGTCCAGTTGCTCACCTATTTCAGGGAAATCAGTTTTGAATTTTTCCACTTCTATAAATACACTCACTCTCCAATCTACATGTTGTAGTCGTAGCGGAGTCACCCTTTCATAGTATAATCCGGAAAGATCTTTTATCGCGATGTTCTGATGCGAATTCTGGCCGTTCAGGATTCCCTCCCCCGGAGTCACAAGGCTCAAAAGCACTATTACCCAAATTTCCATCATATTTATACTATGTTTGCTGAATATTTCCAAATCACACTCCAGCGTTACAATCGTGATTTCCTGGTCGATGGTTGCTGTTTCAATGGATGGGGGAGGGCCCAGATGCACGTACAGTGTGTCCGCCACTATTGGCTTCACTATCGCCACAGGCCTTCTCTTATAGCGTGTTGTTATACAGGAGCTTTCCGTTGAGCCAATGATTTCGTTCGCCTGTATGATACCCTTTGGTTGAGTTAAGGAGTCCTTTGATTGCACTGGTCGTCCAATCTGATGATCACACCGCTTCACTTTACCACTGGCTACAGCTTTCGCCCGTTTTTCCCGATTTTTGACTCCCGTGCGACTTACCATGAGATTTCCCTCGTTATAATTCCCGAGACGAGCAGTAGATGTCTGGGCTTGATTTTAATAGCCTTTAATGGTGGTAATAATAATATTAATAAGGGCCAACCTTATCATCGGACATCGACACAGGCCCCTATTTATCGGTGCACTCGTTGTCGTTTTAAGGTATAGGCAGAGATAATTGGGAGTATTTAGGTTTTAAACATACAACACTCGAGCGGCTTTCGCTCCGAGCTTGTAATGGTCGGGGTGTTATACCGAGTTCGAACGGGTTATCGCTCAGAATTTCAATATTTGGAAATATGTAATGTTCAAGCGGGCAATCGCTCGGAACATCACACTAAAGGAGATACATTGGGAGAGTAGGAAGGCCAAATTCGAACGAATGACCGCTCAGAATTTTCCCATTAGGATATAGCTTGTGTGGAATTTTGCACTAAAGCTGTTAATGTACTGGATTCTCTCTAGAATCGCTAAGGAAAGGTACTGAAGGCGACGTGCGAGTGCGTTCCGGTTATGCGGGGGTAAATGTCGATAATAGTCCGATGACACCCGCGAAGTTCCCGGGAAAATCCGCTACTATGTGAATCAAATATGGAGTATGCTGCTCGTCAGGAGAGTATACTAGTATTCTCGCAAGTGACCCTACAGACCCAGCCGCTATTTCTATTCATACGGCACCTACGTCAAAAAGGACTACTCCCGGAGCAACAGCACTGCTTTTAACGAAGTTCAAATCGTAACCTAAGTTCACTTCGAATATTATGGATCCATGTAATAACTGAGGTGATTCCAATTCGTATTGCACTTCACCGTTCTGTACTGATTCTAAATCTTTACTGTCTTCAATGGTTAAATGAATGTAGCGGACCATCGAAATATTCAAGTATGAGGAGATCGAAGCGACTCACGAGTTCCGTGTAAGTTATCTGCCTACTGACGATTGAATTCTCCAGGGCAAGGAGTCGAGCTCTCTGTTCACTCCTTTTTGTAGACTCTGCTTTCCTACATTCTGTAGGAACTATGGTAGACTTCCCTCGTTATCATCACGTACTGGACCTCGTATTTCGGTCAGCATCATCGGGTTGCGGATACTCATCTTGGTAAGACATGAGAAATTCCTCCAGCTGCAGTCCCCATGATTTCGGGTACTTCCGGTGTCACTAGATCCCTTTATTCGTCAGCCAGCGTGTGTTGCGTGGGAAGACTTGGGAAATTGCTTATCAATTCCTAGTGTTCATTCTTACACTCACTCCACTGCATTCACTCATTTGACAGTTTTGCGGCATCTACATGTTTACGAACTAGGTGACCATTTGGCATTTTCAATATTATATTATTTCTATCGGTTATGTCCACTAAAGCATATGGTCCATGATATTGACCATCAAACTTACCCTTCCGGACCTCCTTTTTCACCCAAACCTCGTCACCTACGCGACCTGTAAATGCCCGGGGCCTTTCCGTCATAGTACCGTTTGGAATTTTCCTTCGCCTTATTGATGTTTTCACCCGCGATTTCACGAATTTCCGATAATCGGTTTATCAATTCCGATATAAAGGAATTATAGGTGGAGAGTTTGTGCTCCGTGGGAAACTGACTTGGCAGTCTCGGTAGTTTCACGTATACCACCTCGTACAGGGTAAAATTCGTCGTCTCGTGTACACAGGTATTATAAGATAATTCAGCGTATGGCAATAGTCTATCCCAATTATCATATTTCCCGGTATAGTGTTTGATATACTTCGTTAGCATGATGTGACTTCGTTCTAGAGCACCGTTCGTTTGAGGTTTATACCCGAACGTTGTAAGCTGTTTGATTTTTAATATCTTCGCGATTTCGCATAGAAGACTACTCGTAAATGCGGCTCCCCAGTCAGTCAATATTGCACGCGGAGCTCTAAATTGACTTATAAGCCGTCGCGCTATTGCCTCTGCAATGGCAGTTGTTTTTAAATCCGGAATCGGCTCTGTCAGACAATATTTCGAAAATTGGTCCTGCATGGTTAGTATATGCTTATTTCTATGCGGAGTAGTAGGTAAGGACCCTACGGTGTCCAGTGCAACTTTATCAAAGACTTGATATTGTAGAAATGTCGGCTGGATGTTAAATTATATTATAGGTGTTTATAGGTGTTGACCATATGCAGCCTTGATAATGCGAAGACAATATTGTTTGCAACGTTTCAACCCATGGTGCGGGTCTTCCTCAGGCCTTTATTAATAAACAGGTGAAGAGAGAAATTTACAATGAGTGACATAGTGAATTGTAAGTAAACATAACGCATAACCCAGTTATTGCAGTAAGGTGGATTAACTTAAAATATACTTACAGGAAGTTAACGTAAGTGGGACATAAACGCAGAAAGAAACAGAGAACGAAGTCACATGTAGGTTGATACACAAATTGAAGGCAGGACCATCATCCGATATGCCTAGTGATACGGGAGAATTAAGATAAGTGTCATATATTTAAAAATAAATATGTTCAGCATGGATTGGAGAGATAAATAATATTACAAATTATACAATTATACCTTCATAGTGAACGTAAGCAAAACGAGCATATTCAAGCAAGGAAGGACCGAATCAACGTGAAACAAGGACGTCAGCCATGAGACAAGCGATTTTGAAATTAAGTATTAGGTGAACGTTAGACTTTTTTTTTTATGGTGAAGGACTAATAAAAGTCAATAAGTTTTCTAATTTTTCGACCCGGGAAATTCAAAATATTAACGAAACCCTTAGATAGGTATTTTTGTTGCAAGATGAGTCTGATAATGAAGGTAAAAGTTATTTCTTAAGGATATTATAGTATATGACACTTAGCCTCTCGATATCATTTCTAAAGTTGACATATTAGAAATGATAAAAATATCTACTAATTCTAATACTTATCTTAATTCTCCCGTATCACTAGGCATATCTGATGGTCCTGCCTTCAATTTGTGTATCAACCTACATGTGACTTCGTTCTCTGTTTCTTTCTGCGTTTATGTCCCACTTATGTTAACTTCCTGTAAGTATATTTTAAGTTAATCCACCTTACTGCAATAACTGGGTTATGCGTTATGTTTACTTACAATTCACTATGTCACTCATTGTAAATTTCTCTCTTCACCTGTTTATTAATAAAGGCCTGAGGAAGACCCGCACCATGGGTTGAAACGTTGCAAACAATATTGTCTTCGCATTATGAAGGCTGCATATGGTCAACATCTATAAACACCTATAATATAATTTATCAAAGACGTCTACAGGCGTATCTGTGATTAATATCGGTTCGCGAGTCTTGACTCACACGAGTTTCTGCTCCTGGCAGCTCTTGTAGTGCCTGATAAAGTTTTACACATCATTACGAAGTGATGGCCAATAAAAGCGTTCTCGAATTTTCCGGTAGGTCTTTGTTACCCCCCTATAACCGCCCATCAAGCTCTCATGGAACTCACTTAAGATGGCATTCCGGTCTTCCGGCCTCGATACTTGTATTTTTCCGTAACAGATGGTCATTGCAACTCCCGAATTCGCAAACAAATTGTGAATTTTGTCAACAAACTCGCCTTCGGGAGGGCAGTCTGTATTGTCCCCGGCACGAGATATTCGAAGAGATTCTACGTGGTTACGTTCTAAAACCTTCTTCAAGTTACTTAATCCCTTAAAAATGTTTTCATCTTCACTTTTTCCGAAGTACCGGGCTTTTATGATTATACTGTAGATCTTATTCCTCCCATAAGGCGTGACGACAATTTGTCCCACCTTTAGACTTGCTTGTTTAATTCTGTCCGCATCAATTCTCCCCAGGTCCGAGAGAATTTCACCAATTGGCGTGATGAGTTCCCCGTCTGCGGATACAAAATGGACGTAATTATCGGGTTTGTATGTTAGACATTCCCAAGTTCCAACAATGGGATTATAGACCTTCATTTCTTTCCCTTTTTCATCGCTTCTCTGGTCATTCTCGCTTCCCGATGTTGAGGCTACGGCTATGGTTTTCGGGGGTTCGTTACGCGGGTTTGTTCCTTCCGTCCCAGGTCGTAAAGTAAATATCTGTCTTGGTGCAGGGTTAAAAGGAAACGGAGTTGATCGTGCGGTAGGAACCACTCCCGTTGCTGGTAAAGAGAATCTTACTTCTCGCGAACGCGCTCTTTCGCTACTGCCCTCAGCTGCATTTGAGCGTACTGGTGTATCATTCCCTTTGCCGTGCTATTTCTCCGGTATCACTTGGCTGCATTGGTCTACTTCTTGCGTAGATTCTTCAATGACAGGGGGAACGAGGACATCTTTGGATAGGCTTACTCGTCGCAGGAGTTCGTTTTCCGGTAACTGCAGGACGGTATTAGTCAACCTCTCAATGCGCCTGTCAAGCACAATATCCTCTAGCTCGTCATCGTAAGGATCTAACTCCTCAAACTTCTCCTGCATTTCCTCCGGTATTGAGTCTCCTTCGGAAACTGTACCTAATACGACTTCAACGTTTTCGTCGTCTTGAACGGGAATCGTTCCTTTATCTTGGAACTTCTCCTCCAGAACACGCAGGGATTCGTGAAATTTACTGAACGACTCTTGAAGTTGCGCAGCTAATTCGCCAGTGTCATCCATAGAGGGTGCATTAGTGGCCTCTAACTCTGGGGCAGTTGTTTGTGAATTTCCCTCTGTATGTTCCTTTGGCTCGATAAGGGATTTTCCGGACTGAGCCTGCTCATCGAACACACTGTCTTCCGAGCCATCGTCAACAGAACTCGGATTAACAACCACGGTGTCGGGTGTCTTGGCGGTCAGTAGGCCGCTCGGCCCTGCTGACGGCTCAGGTTCAGTGATCTTAGGCGGCAATTTACTGGAGTTAGTGGGCGCCTCGACGGTAGGAGAGGTGCAGGTAGCGTACTCCGATGCATTCTATGTATCGGCGGATCGGATACCTCGGTACTTGACTCATCGGTTTCAGATATAGTGGGTACCGCGGGAGTAAATTGCGTGAGTGAACGCGTCCTGGCAGCGATATCACTGGGGTTTTGGGTCGCCGAGAATCTAGTAACTCCTGTGCGTCTAGAGGGCCCCGGTGCTCTCCCCCGGCCTTTTGCTTTCGTTATACAATTTCCCCCGCATGCTGATGCCGGCTCGAGTTTATCGGAAGTACCCTTTTTGTGATGTCGCTTTCAGAGCACTTCGAGCTTGATTCCCCTGAAATTACTGGATTTCGGGAAAGCGCATCCGCGTTGACATTCAATTTCCCGGCCCTATAGACAAATTCGTAGTCGTACCTTCTCATTTTCCATTTCCACCGCGTAAGCCGTTTCCCAGGATCATCCATGGCTCATATCCATTTCAAGGGTTCATGGTCGCTAACAAGCTTAAACCTCTTACCATACAGATGGCTATTAAAATGCTCTATTCAATCAATGATCGCCAGGCATTCCTTATCCGTGGCAATAGTTCCTCTCAGCCTTTGTTAGTACTCTAGAATGATAGGCTGTTGGTAGATCTTGCTCGTCATGTTCTTGCGATAGTACTGAACCTATAGCAATGTCCGAAGCGTCTGTGGTTAAAATAAATTGTTTATCTAAGTCAGGGTACTGTAATACTGGTTCCTTGCATAGAGCTTTGCGAAGGTCCCTGAAGCTGCTCCTCTGCGTAGGTCCCCAAGAAAGTGCTAACCCCTTTTTTAGTAAGTCAAATAACGGCTTTGCGCGCGCTGAGAAATTTGGTATGAACCGTCGGTAGTAACCGGCTAAACCAAGAAACTGACGCACATTCTTCTGAGTTTTCGGAGTAGGAAATTTCTTTACTGCTCTTAACTTCTTTGGATCCATTCTCAGCCCGTCACGACCTACTATATGTCCGAGATAAGCAACCTCTCCAAGAAGAAATTCGCATTTGTCAGGTTGCAAGGTGAGATTAGCTTCTTCTAGGCGTCTCATGAGGCGTCGAACCTTGATCTTGTGTTCTGTCAGGGATTTTGCAGAGACCACTACGTCATTTAGCTACACAAATAATTCCGTGCCTTGCAGACCTCTCAGCACGTTATCCATTAGTCGTTGAAACGTAGCAGGTGCATTTTTCAACCCCTCGGGCATCTTAGCATATTCATAATGCCCGTTTAAAGTAGAGAAAGCAGTTTTTCCTCGATCCCCGCGATCCATGGAAATTTGTTGAAATCCGCTGGCTAAATCGAACGTTGAAAAATACTGCGCCTGGCCCAACTGGTCCAATATATCCAGTATATTGGGCAGTGGATAAGCGTCAGATACCGTTTTTTCATTGAGCTTGCGAAAGTCTGTCACCATTCGCATGCGCGGACGGCCCTGAGAACCAGGTTTCTTAGGCACTATCCACACCGGCAAATTATACGGCGATTGTGAAGGAGTAATTATCCCATCGCGTAGTTTCGTTAGTACTTGTTGTTCGATCTCATCTCTATGAATTACCGGGAATCTGTACTGTTTGGTGTTTATCGGCAAGTCATCGACAGTTGGAATTTTATGATAGACGCGGTCCGTGCACTGTAACTTATCGCCTTGGAGCTTGAATCGATCCGGGTATTCCTCAATAAGTTCACGAATGTGGCTCTGTTCCTTTTTGTTGAGGTGGTCTAATCGCAATGCAGCTAAAATGGCGTTTACGCGATCTGCCGGGGGAACAGCGTGTACATCAACTCACTCGGTATCCTCGACCTCAGATTTTCCGTCGGGACTACAGTAGGTGAATGGCACTGATTCCTGTGCTCCTGGTTGGATTTCTACACCCTCCTATGAGGTATTAATTGCCATTACGTGGCAGTGACCATTGGTCTGGGTGACTAGGGCTTCCCCCAGGAACAGCCCTTCCGGTGCCGATACACGAGCCAGATAACCTTCTTTTAAATCCCTATTTACCGCTTCTAACGCTACTTGTTGTCGCGTGTGGGCTTGAACTCAAAAGACACGGTTGGATTTTGCTGTTAATATACGCTTTATTATATGAGGGTTGGTATCAACGAATGGTTTTGGTCGGATGGGGTCACTTTGAGTAACCATGGTATTGTGGTTAAACGAAATCTCCGCCTTTTCCTCGCGAAAGTATGGTTTCCCAATTATAGCATCGGCTGCTAATGGTAAATCGTACATGACATTGAACTTTGTTGGCTTGTCTGTGAAATGGATTAATACGGTACCAAGTGTTAATATTTCCTTTTCTGCAATTCCTGCGACTTTGATTATCTCATATGTGTTTATTGTCTGATTTTCATCTATAGCCCTCAGTTTAATAAGGTTGGCGTCCGAGCCCGTGTCTACGAAAAATCGTCCTACTCGGTTACGAAGTTCCGGGGCTGACATTTCCACTACCGGTGATTCTACTGAGGCATTCATCCAGAGGACGGTGCAGACTTTTCCAAAAATTTCACCGTGGTTTGCTTCTCGTCTAAGTGACTCGCATGATGAGATTCTTGTGAACGGCTCGCCGTCGGACTTGGGCGACGAGCCTCTTGGTAGTTTAAAGATTGACGATCAGCCGGACTAAGCGAAAGATCGGCTCGCATTTTAGAACAACAGCGACATTCCTTGCTTGGTCGCCCGTGACGTTCATTCCCTCGGGTATAGTCCTCACTCCTTGGACGGTGCTTCAAAATTCCACTCGGTCGTGGTGAAGAATCATGATCAGGCGATTCCTGCCGAACCGTATATTCCCGCCGGGAACTCCGATACGCAGGCGATGGAGAGCGCGAGTCATGATAACGGTGCGCATCGTACTTTCGCCGATCGTATGGTCGGTCACCATCCCGATAATGCGACCGCGATTCACGCGCGTGGCGATATTCAACATCGTCTCGGTATGTCGGGCGAGAATCACTAGTGCGATAAGAAGAGCGCGAACTCCTTTCCGCGTATGAAGGCCGATAGTCCCGATCGTGATACGTAGGACGAGCAGAGTTATCCCCTTCCTTCGTGTACAGTACACGATTGAGATTTATATCGCGGCGTTTTCGACGTTCGTCTCTATCGGCAAATCTTTGGGCTATATGAAAAGCCTCCTCCAACGTCGCCGGCTCTCGCGCGTCTACGGCATCGCTCATTTTTGTAGGTAATCCGTCTATAAAAGCAGTCAGAGCTAACTGTCTTAACATATCCTTCTCTCCTTCCGGTGGGTCAACGTCATGTTGCGCCGATTGCAGACCGTCCACCGCTAAGGAGGATCCGTATCTTATCATAAAATTCACCGACGCCTTGACCTTGTTTCATCCTTATCCGCGAGAGAGCATCAGTATAATAGTCATACGTTTTGCCCGTGACAAGTCGGCTCTTTAGATATTTGATATAGTCAGCGACGGTGTTTATTGTTTCACCGTAAACGATATTCCTCATGTCACGCTGCAGGTTCCTTATTGCAGCTTTAACGTATTCCCTCTCCGTTCCTGGTGGTAGCAACGATGCAGTATTCTGTATGTCTTGTAAATAATGCCTGAGAGACATATTTTTCCCATCATATTTGGGAACTAACACCAACCGCTGCTGTAGCGTCATGCTGCTCATCATCTCCGTTACGTTATTAACCAAGTGCGTAGATACGTCTGGGTCGGTCGCCATAATTATTTAAATTCCTTGCGGCGAAGTTTGAAAGAAGAAAGGAGGCTAACCGATTAAGATTCTAAATCCCAGTTAATTTTAAAAGATAGCTCAAATATCGAACATCCACCAATTCCGTTTTCAATCCTCGGGGGTAGTCAAGAATTATCCCACTTCTGACACCAATTAACTTGTGACGTGCAGGGCGTTATTACACGTCTAGCAAAGTTAATCTCCCACGCTACGCGAGGAAGTTTATTTTTATTTTTGTTCTGGGTAATTTCTTGACTGCCGTCCTATACAGGCCCGGTCCTTTGGATTGCCGTTAGGAGGAGGAATTGGTATATGGTCTATTAAATCAAAGATTCAGAGTTCCCAGTGAAATGATTTGAATATATTGTTTCAACCCAATTTTGCTTACTTGCTAGTTATTTAATAGAAATAAAAAAATGCCGGATGGTCTTACAGCTAGGTTTATAAAGGTCTCGTAATGCCGTGCCCACACTTACTCCTGTATACTCACTCTCCTATGATCATACGGCGTACAACGGTAGACGCCCACGCTGCCTTGGTGTTCGCAATTCGTCTTCTCACGACTCGAGGTCCTTCGTTCTATTGATCACTTAAACTACTCGACAATATTGTTCGGCAAAAATGAAAAGTACTAACATCTACCTCACTTTTACTGATACGCTATGCGTGCAACTTGTAGGGCTCGATACGACTTAATCGACTCACAAACGGCGATAGATAACAGTACGTGGAACTCCCGTGAGATTGATAGCCGCCGAATAATACTCCAGCCCGAACTATGCGCTCTGGTGTGTATCTGGAGACTAATTTGCCTTCCCTGATCCATCCTACTTTCCGCTGAAAATAGGTGGACAGGTAGGGGCAAATCTTACTAATTCAGCGGTTTTACCCACTCGCGTGAATCCTGGAATTTTTAGTTCACACGTTTAAGGCACGTTCACGGTGCGATAAGACCGGAAGCTAGCTTCCTCACATAATGCTGCAAACGGCATGTCAGAAATGGCGTGGTTTCTCTGTTGCATTCCCGGTTCTTCCCGATGTTTTCATCGTTCGTATATATGTGTGTGCGAGACCTAAATTCCAAAAGGCACGGCACGCGACAAAATCACTCTACACTTATTTATATTCGTACAATCGAGTTTATGTTTTTCGAAAGAGTTTTCAGTTTGAAAATGGTACAAGCATCTATCGCATAGTCTAATATGACCATTATGTTTTGAAATTTGAAAACTTAGCAGTCGAGATAAATTTCGGATCCAAGCAAAATGGTAAATTTCACTTTTTGACAAAAATTCCATGTTCAAATCATCATCATCACTTTCCACGTCAATTCCACTTCCCACCGTCAGAAGATGAATTGGAGATTTATTTGATCTGTGTTGGCTTAAAGAAAGTGGTACTATCTCATTGCTATCCTTATTCGCATCACATTCTATACCGTAAACATTAATCACTAAATCATTAATCGCTTCGAATCTTGAAATGTCCTTCAAGCCAATAGGAGAATTAATACCTTCGTACTTTAGCACTGAGCTGAAATGTGGGTACGAACTGATCCTTTCTGCAGTTTGTTTAGCTGGATGAAGAGCTACCGTAACGGACCAGAGAAAACAAAACGGATCGCTATTTATAACGTTCACCGCTCCTTTTTTGTTCCGCACGTTCTTAGGCAACTCGATGAATGTCAACAGACCATCATGTATCGGTATATATCTGTTGATATTTACCGCCAAGTTTATTATTTCCAACAACGACCAGTCCGATTCTCTTTCTTGGAAGTCTTCGATTTTAGTTAATAATTTGTCCAGTATATTTGTTACGACAGTAGTTATAAGCCACTTCTGGCCGTCACAACAATCCCCCACCACTGTCCCGATGAGTCATAGAGCGCATCGCGCTGTGTCCCCCGCGCTGCACTATGGCGTCACCCCCTCGCCTATGTGGTCGGCTCTCCCCACCGCCAACCCATGTTGCTGCTCCCCCACCACGCGGGCCTGGTCCTAAGGCCCGAAACTCAGTAGCACCGGCGTTGCATGCCCCCAGGGGCCTATCACGGTCGGTAATTATGCATTAACCGCCGGTCGGTAACTTTTTTTTTAATTATCCTAAGGAGATAAGTGTGCCCGTGGTAAAATAGAACACCGTATTTTGTAAGACACATTATGTATTGTGACGTGGTGGATTTCACCCGTCTTGTCCTCGGCGGAAAATCACGCCGAAACGCGATACGGGCCGAAAGGCCATAGCAAAGTCCAGACAGGATCCACCGACCGCAAGGGCCTAATCATAATTACGATAGATTATTTTATTATTTTTCTTTTGTTTTGCGTGTACTCTGCCGGAGTTCGAATAGGTGCTCGCACGCCGTGCCCGTAAAGACGCGGAGAAGGAGAGAGGGAGAGCCAGCTGGACTCCTAGGAGGAAGGGAGCTGCGACACGCGAGGGTCGACACTCGCGCTATCTGCGGACAGCAGCTCTACTGGTCCCGGAGGCGCGCGCAACGCGGGACAGCTTGACGTCACGCGGCAGCAACGCGCTCTACTCAGCAGGTACTCAACCACGACGATTGGAAGCGGCGTACACAGCGTCACACGACTGAGCACCACTGCCGACCCCTATGGCATAGCGCCCATCGTCAGTT